CCCCCCCGGTTCCCTTTATGTTCAAACTGAATGCATCTCAAGTCTTGCAGGTGAGGGCATTGGAAAAGCTTTACTGCAGTTAACCCAGGCTCTGATTTAGCCACTGCCTCTAGTCAGACTCCTGTCTGCTCCCCTCTCATCTGAGGTTAGTGGTGGTAGAAAGGACTTGCCTTGTCCACTCTTGAGGTCTGGGAAAACCTGCAGTGCTGATTTCTTTCAAACCAGTAGCTCACCCACTTGTCAGTGAGGCACAAGCTAAATTGCTTGAGGGCTGGTTACAGAGGCAGATGCAACAGAAGCGAGCTGGGGAAGCGTTGCAGCATGGCAGCTTGCATGCAGGAGAGATTGATGCAAGTGCCAATCCCCTATGCTAACCCCCTGGTTAAGTTCTTCTAGTATGGTTAAGAGCTTGAGGCACACAAAGTATAGGGATGTAGGGGATATGATGAGTGTCAGCAGGCTGCATCTAGACCAGTTCTCCTTGAACTTCCCTGAGCACAACTGTGCATTTGAGGAGTGAAATCTCCCTGAGCTCTGGCAAGAGAAAAGCGGCCTTGTTTTCTGGAGACCCAAGTAACAGGCTATCTCAGGGCCTCACCCTTTGGGAAGGAAACAAGACCTTGAATATCTTCTCCTTCACCCAGTTTTACTAAGCTGGGCCATGAGACTTGGACTATTGCTCATGCTTCCAGCTGTTCCCACATGAAGGGCAGCTCTTGGGTTTCTGCAGAGCTTGGGGCTTGACATTACTGGATGCAGAGGTGCTGGTGAAGAGCCAGAGGGATTCACCATCCAAGTGGAAATGCTTTCCCAGGGCTGGATGAGAACATCGGCAGCTGACTGGAAAAAATGAAGGAAACTGCTCCAAAAGGTTACAGCTGAGAACATCCTTTCATTAAGGGATCCTTCCTCCTGAAGCTTCTGCCTTCCAGCAGACAACTCCCTGCACTGGGAGTCTGCTTCCTGGAAAAAGCTTCAGGCCTTGACATACTGCGTCAAACCTTGCATCAGCAGGCAGTGTATGGCAGGGGGTCATCTGCCTTCTCACGGGATGGCCCTGGGGCCTGCATCAGTGCCTGGAGGCAGTGGGAGGTGTGCTGCATAACTATCTTGTTGGTTTAGTTGTGACCCCGAAATCCCCAGTCCATATGATTTTTTTTTTTTTTTTTTTTTTTTAAAAAGGACAGATTGAAACAGAGGGAAACTGCTTTCTCTGAGCTACAAAGGGCATGACCTCAATGTGCTTTACTGATAAACAAAATCGATAGGCAGGACAGCTCTTGTCTACAGAAGTGTAGGTGGAATGCAGCCTGCCTGGACTGGTGGGGAATAGATTTGCCACTTCAATCTGCCAACCCGCACTGGGCTATCCCTGCCATGTCCACACTGGGAGTCTGCCCTGTATAATGGCGTATTAGGTAAGGCAGGGTTTCAGTGTTGGGCTTGCATGTTGAAGCCTTGTTCTCTGTTCCTTGGGCATTAATTCGAACCCTTCAGATACCTTCTTACAGCTCCCACTGGACTAACACTTGTCTAATGCAGAGCTGTTTTGTTTTTTTTAAAGGCTGGTGGGAAGACTGGGTGGCTTTCCTGCTTTGCTGTTAAAGAAGGAACTATTTGTCTCACCTTCTTCCTCCTATACTTGGCCCTAATTCTGTCTGACTGTCCCTGCATTCCTGTGCGTGTATAGTGGGGGGGTGGCAGGGCTTGAAGTCCTACTGCTGCTTTCCCATTAGCCATCCTTCTTGTGCAAATGCATCCCAGCTATGATTTAGAGCTTGGCTTCCACCCATCCAAATGCAAAATTCATAGAGTAGTCAATAATTGTGATTTACAATAGCACTGGAATAGCCGGTCAGCTTCCAAGATCGACAAAACTCCAGGTTTCAGGAGGATGGCACTGATCCAGGTGCATAATTCATTGATACAAGACCTTCTGGTAGGACATGCCTGATTTCTGCTGCACTAGCCCAGGTTGCAGATGGAGAAATCTGTTAAGAAGTCAGCGGAGGAAAAATTTGATGAACTAGGTCATTCATCTGGGCTCAAACTGGCAAGGGACTAGTATTGTCCTTTTAGAGCTCAAACAGAATCCACCTTCGTGTGGCAGCCAGCTGTTTGCTTACAATATGATGAATGCATTAAAAGTAAATTTTAAACGTATAACAGTGGCTTCAGTTCTGGGAGTAATGCAGTAGATCAGGAAGTGAAGCTGCCATCTCTGACAAATGTCTATTATTACAAGGAGGCAGTGACTCACTGTAAGAGAAGTAAGTACTTCAGACTGTGCAAAGAACTATTTTGGAAAACACTAACAACTTATCCTAACATTTTTTTTACCATGTCCCTCTGACCCTCATGTGCGAAGGGCCTACCTATTCAAGCTGCTTGTTCTCATTGCCCAGTTGTGGGACTATTACTTGGTTATTCACGGAGTGGAGGGATGTCCCTAGCTAGTTGATGGGTATAATCTACCCATCTATCCCCATCACCAAACTTTGGAGAGCAAAAGCGTGATCCTGATGGCTCCTTGGGCTCCCTCTTCTAGGAACATGGTAATTCCTCAAAGAGCCAGCAAGCAGAATAACAGACCCAGTCCTCTGAACACTTCTCGCTTGTCTCCTTTCTTTTTGTCCTCCTGGCTTTTTGCTACCTACCTTTTTTTGGTTTGCTTTGTCACCTGCCTCAGTCTCTTTCCAGCTTATGAAAAGAGCCAAGATTTAGAAATGCAATAACTTAATTCCCTCACTTTCAGTTTCTCTCCTATTTTGCTTCCCAGCTGTCAGGGGTCTGAGAAACTCTGCTGCTTGGGGTGTGCCTCATAATAACTGCGAAGGCAGGCTTGACGGGAGCCAGACCTGCCCTTGCTTTCTGCATGGCTGTGGGAGCTTAATGCTGGATCTTCAAATGCTTCTTCCCTTGAGCCTCTGAAAGGCTCATTCTTGTTTCTCAGGAACAATGCCTCGGCTTCATCCGCAACAATATCCTTTCATCTCCTGGTTTTCATGCTCCAGTGCATTCTGGGATGTCACAGTACAAAGAGTGCCTTATGTTTGTGTATGTGCGATTCTGTTTTTTCCACATCATTGACCTAGTGCCTTCCATATCCTTGGTTATGCAACAACTGCAGGCGGGTTAACACTGTCCTGACCAGAACTACAACTGCTCTGTTTCCCTGTACAGGGGCTTTCTGCCACTCCCAGATACTCCTGTCAAAGGTTCAGAGCATGATCTCTTTCATTCGTGAGTGCAGGATGCACTTTCATAATTACACTTATGTGGTGCCCTGTAGTGCACATGCTTCTGCCCTCCATCATGAATGCACTGTCCTCCTTTGCTCTGTGTGTGAAAGACCCAGTCCTGTTTTCTCTTGGTCACAGTTGGGCTTTGCTGATCTGAACCTGGCAGAATTCGCTGGCTCTGGATTCACAGTCCGATGCTGCCTACTGGAAGGCTATGACACCAAGAACACCCGACAGGACAACTCTATCCTAAAGGTACGGGCTTTATCCTAGGCTCTGTACTCTGCATAAAACCCAGCCAGAGTTTCCAGTCCAGGAGTTGGTTCCTAGCCTGTCCACTTGTAAACTCTCTTGATGGTGGGATCCTTTAACAGAGGCCCTTCCAGAGCAGTCTAGAGCCATAGGAGCAGCTTCCAGCTTCTACCTAGAGCAGCCACCCTTAGATACTTAGTTAAACGATGATGTTTCAGTGATATCCTCTGTTTGCAAGTAACGTGAGCAGGAAAGCAGCCTTAGCTGCAGGATCAAGCTGCTGGAGTTGCTGGCATGACTTGGAGAGAGTGACGCTAGTGGGTTAAATACTATGCAGGAGAGAGGTGGTCCTGTTGAGCGCAAGTGCAATGCTAGCTTCTTAGTCCTAAATCTCCTTCCACCCCCTGTCACAGGACCCACAAGCTATGGTTGTCATTGATGGGTGGACGGTCTTGGAACTGACTCTTACTTCTGACTTGTGCCCCTTCTGTCTCCCATAGGTCACAATTGGGATGTCTCTGCTCTCTGGGGACCCCTGCTTCAAAACGTGAGTTTCTAGATTCTTTTCTGCTCTTTGGGGACTTGTTGCATTTACAGGGTCTCATCCTATATTGGTGAAATTCAACCAGGGGAGGAGAACAGTTAAGGGGTCACAAAGCTGCTCCGTGAACTGACATAGATCTCTGAAAGAGGCTGGTGATCTTTATATCGGGGTGACCTTGGATGTCTCCTCTTCCATAGATCACTAGTTTAATTTTTATAAGGCAACAAACTTCCCTAAGAGCACAGTGGAGCAGTTTAAAACTGGGAATCTGGACTGAAGGATTCAACGTCAGATTTTGCCAAAGACTGGACTTGGCTTCTTAAAACTACCCTGATCCTGTATGAAAGGGTTAATGATAATACCTATAGATAGGTGACAGGAACCTGCCAGATGACCTACAGGAGACTGCTGAGTGGGTGCCCATTTCTTTCTAGAGCAGCAAAGGCAGAAGACCCAACTTAAATTGTTTTTTTTTTTTTCCCAACCTTTAAAAAAAAAAAAAACAACAACAACAACAACAAAACACACACACACACATTAAAAAAAACAACAAACCAAGAGTCTTGTCTGATTTAGCCTCCTTGGCTTTGCAGAAAGACTGTCGTATTCTTGCATGCCCCACGCTCCCCAGATAAGACATTAAATTTTATTATTTGGAAGGCAGAATGAAGAAAAGTTTGGGTTTCTTCAGTTAGGTTTTTTTTTGGTGGTTTTGTGGGGTTTTTTTGTTTTGTTTTTTTTGCGGGGGGGGGCCAGAATTGGGGCCAACTCTCTGCAGCAGCTTACTTGCCTAAAGCAGCAATTGAGCTGGCTCAGGACGGAAGCTAGTGTTTACCCTCACAGCTACTAAGGGATTCATAGCTGCTTTTGACTGCTTGGCCCAGAGCTCCTGCCAGTTCCTTAGTGGCTGTGAGAGGGTTAACATTGGACTCCATCCCTTCTGCTTGCCCGACCAGAGCGAAGCAGGAGCCCTTCTAACAGCTGTTTAGAGCACAGCATCTCCATGTTTCTGTTTCAGCAAAAAAAGAAAAAATAAATAGTTGGAGTACTGCGTCCAGTACTGGGCGTAGCACTTCAAAAGGGATGCAGCCAGCCTGGAGAGGGTTCAGAGGAGGCCACCCACTTGGTGAGAGGGCAGCAGGATGGGCCTGACAAGGAGAGACTGAGGGACCTGAACTTGTTCAGCCTCAGCAAGAGGAGGCTGGGGGGGGACCTGGTGCATGGGGGGGACCTGGTGCCTACAAGCTCATCAGGGGAGATCAACAGCAAATAGGGAGAGCCCTTTTCTCCCCAGCACCACCTGGGGTGACAAGGAACAATGGTCATAAGCTGATGGAGAATAGGTTTAGGTTGGAGATCAGAAGGCAATATTTTACAGTTAGGGGGGCCAAAATCTGGAACCGACTTCCCAGGGAAGTGGTCCTCGCCCCTACCTTGGGCAAATTCAAGAGGAGGTTGGATGATCACCTGTCTGGGGTCTTGTGAACCCAGCATTCATTTCTGCCTGTGGCAGGGGGTCAGGCTAGGTGATCTGTTCAGGTCCCTCCTGACCCTAACTACTGTGAAACTATCCCTGCTTTAAAAATGCATTCCAAGATGGGGTGGCAAGTAAATGCAGTATTTTTATGAAGCAGGTGAGGATGAGGAGTAGTTTCAACTCAATGATATGTTATTGTGTACCTTAACTGAAGGCACTTTTTTCCTCCCTGGTGTTTGTTAGGCCTTAGAGACTAATAGATACTGGCAACAAACCACAGGTATTTAATTTGAATTGTTATAATCAAGCTTGAGGGCCTAGAGGGAAGTTGTGTTATAGAAAACAAGGCTTTGAAGAGATGCAGACAACTTGTGGAGTGAGATTTGACATTCGGCTTTCAGTCTTTGCTTGGTGATGTCCTGACTCACTGTGCGAGAGCAGTGAATTGGAATCTGACAGTGGCACTGGTTGAAATGTTTTGATTTATTGTTGTGCTTTTCTGTTCAACAGAATAAATCTCTAGCTCTACTGCCTGCTCCTAGGCCAGGTCTGCATCTCTAAACTGTCGTTGATTTATGACGATATTGATTATGGTGGCGATTTATGACTTGCACTAGCAGATGCAGTTTTGCTGTCAAGGGAGTTTTGCTGGTGTGGGTTATTGCATTTGCAGAACATGTATAAATAATGCCAGGAATAATACTGACTTACTGCTATAAGCTGCCAACTTTTTTTTAATGTAGATAAAGCCTTGAATTTTGTAAGATGAGGAAGGGACGTTTCTCCTCCTACTCCACTGGCTCCTTTTTGGGAAGATGGGGAGGGCCTAACCTGGCAGTTCTTGTAGCTCTGCACAGATATAGTTCTACTTAGCAGCAACATTGCTGCATTTTTCTATTAACCATAAAATTAATGAAACTCAGTAAAGTGCTCATTTTCTGTTAATGCAATTTTTAGTTGTAATTGCCAGTCACAAAGGTGAGTGCCTACTTCATAATAACCTAGGTAGGCACTGTTACCAATACAAACCTGTCTTTAAGATGTTCACAACTTTATTCAACTCCCCTGTGGACCAGAAACTTTTTCAGAATTGGAGAATATTGCTCTTCTCTTCCTCCCCCTTTCCTTCTCAAGTCCCTTATCTCCCATTCTGGCTCCCTGGCTTTCCTTGGTATAGTGATCACATGCTAATGGCTTAAATTTCCACAGCTGAGACTTCCATGTAAAACAGTCCTCAATACATTGTACCATTGAGAAACAGTGCTCATTAGGGTACCATTAAAACCACAGGAGAAAATTGCTTGTGGCCCTACTCAGCCAGCACCTCCTAACATTTTGAAGTAGCAATCTAACCCAAGGAAGGGGGTGGGGGAAAGCATCCATGTATACCCAGCCTGACAGGTATGTGAGCCTCTGATGTTTGCTGCTGAGCAGTTAGCCTGATTGACATTGCAAGTGCCTTATTAACCCACCCTCTGGATTAGCAAACTGCAAACATGTAGATAGTGGCTTGCAGTTTTGGGGCTGCCTTGGACTCTGCATCTGCGGGGGCAGGGGAAATAGAAATCCTCCTGTAAAGGGAGAATCTGCAGCACATCTTTGCCTGGGAAGCATTTGCAATGCAGCCTTGTATTCCACCCACTCAAGGGGTGGGCGATTTTGCTGAAGGTCCTGGAGTTGGTGGCAGAGCTAGAAATAGAATCTTACCTCACTTCTGTTTCAAGGTGATGACTTTCGGTAAAAGGACTTCATGAGGAGAAAACACCAGGTCTGAAAGGGCTTTTTAGCTTCATGCAGAAAGGCATAACAAGGTGGCATCAGGAAGCTAGAGCCAAGCAGATTTGAATTCAAGGGGTACCTATACACATGCCCAACCCCTGCTCTAATACATGCTAATTAACACACGTCAGAGCAAACTTGATTAATCAAGTCTGCTGGAGTGTGAATTGGCACACTCCAGCAGCCTCAGCATCGCATGCATTTAGCTGTGCTTCAAAATGGCAGCAGAGGCGCTTTTAACTAAAGGTCGTTGAATGAGCTTTAGTTAAAGTGCCCTCACCACCGTTTTGAAGCACAGCACCCTGAATACACAAGACCCCAGGAGCACACGTAAGGACACCCAAGGTGTGTATCTTGTTTCAAGTCAGAAGCTTCTTGTAACAAGCCACTGAGGGAGGTGGTGGGTGCCCCACCTATTGTTGCGTCTCTGCATGGTTCATTTCAACTAAGCATAAGTTGCTGGCCTTGGAACAGGATGAAATTTGACAGGCGATTGGACTAGAGGACCTAATGGTCCCTTCTAGCTCCAAACTCCTTTAACATATTAGTCTGAGACTCACGTTTCCTTTTTTAAGTGGTTGCTTTGTTTTAGTCTCGCTAGCTCTGCAGTCGCCACAGAGGCAAACCTAGAAAGGTTTTGCATTCCTAATATAAAGACACCAGCAGAAGCAAAGGCCTTGCTGTGTGTCCCTTTCCGAGTCCAGTCACTCTGCATGAAGAAGCAAAAGGAGAATGGCTCCCTTTTGTAGGTCACCTTGGACCTCTCAAGTGGCCATCAACTTTCAGCCTCTGCCTGACTTCCTGAATAACCACCTGTGCTTTGCCTTTTGCAGACCTCCTTCCACAGCCAAATCGATCACCATCCCAGGACAGGACTCCACCCTGCAGTTGACCTGCAAGGGCGAGGGAACCACCAGCAGCAGCACAAGTGGTTCAGCTTCCATTGGCTCTGTCCGACAGACCAAGTCAAGACCCACCATTCTCAGCTCAGGTACAGGCCTTCGGTTCCAGGACTGTGCTGTGCTCTCTCCACCAGTGGAGGGGCTCCCACTGCGTGGTCATTCTCAACCCCCTTAAGTAAGAGAACTTGCAAGCTGCTTACCTACTAAATGTTACGAAGCAGAGGAAGCCTGTATCTCTGCAGCACTCCTCTCTGTTAGTCAGAGAGATAAGCCATTCCTTCCTGCTGCCAGGGAGTTAATAATTGATATATGTATTGCAGTCCTCTTAAAGGTACCCAGTGCTGTGGTTCCTCTTTATATTCAATAACACTTAACACTTTTTTTTTTCTCCACTTGGCTGTTCAATTTGTTCAGGCTGCTCTTCTGGAAAAGTTCCTCTGCAATTTTTAACGCTTTTGGTCTGAGATCTAATAACCTTCGTTTAGCTGCTGAAGCAGCATTCTTCAGCTTCCGCGAGTCTGTTTTCAAGGGCATTGTACTTTCCCAGCTCTCTCCGAGAGAGCTTGCGCTTCCCTACGTGGACCGTGACAGATCCATATTGCAGGAGAAATAGCATGTTTCTTAGTTCACTTTAATGGCACGGCAAAGTAGCTTAAAAAAATGGTTGGTGCTTTTCCCAGGAATTTGATCTCTTGGGCAAGCTTTTTTTTTAACATGCAAATGAGGAAGTGCAGAGGTAAATCTGACCCTTCGAGCCAAATTCAAAGGTGATGTGAACAGTAGTGGAACAACCCACCACCACCACCCACCCTTTGAAAGATGAGGTTGTAACAGAAAAGCAGTCAACAGGGAGGTGTCCCATTGCACAGGTTCTGCCCTTCCTTGCTTTTTAACAATTTGTCCTGCTACACCCTGCCCCTTGCACCGAGTTAGCTGTAGGTAGTGGTGAATTTCTGCTGACTTGGGGCCCCATCTGACTTGTCAGTTAAGGTTTATATTCCACCTGTCCCTATAGTACACTGTCCAATTTTAGCCCATTGTAAATACATAGTGTATCCTTTTTCACTGGGATCTTCCCACATTTGCATTGTACCACTGAGATTCTGGCTCCTTTCTACTCTGTCACCAGCTGCTGTTCCAGCACTAGGTCTTGAATTGTAGCTTTTGCAGCACAGGTAGTCTAAGTTATGGGAGCCAGCAATAGTATCTAGCTGCTTGCATGGCACATACCAAGTTGGCATAATGCTTTTTAACAGGTAGTTTTTGATGTAAATGGCCTCAGATGTGACCTACCATCTGAATGGGCTTGAATGACCTTGCATCCCTGCCTATTCAGGCACTGGACTTTAGACTCTGCCACACAAATCTGACAGAGCCTCTCACAGCTACTCTTATAAATAGTCCCTGGCAGCTTTTAGTTCTCCAGCAGTCTGTGGAGAAGCACCCTTTCCTGGTCCAGTGTGACAGGGTTTCCTTCAAATCCTTCAGCACAGAGCAGTGCTGGCTGAGATATAATTGGAGTGATCCATCGTTTGTTGGCAGGTGTACCAGAGGAGCCAGACCAGAATCTGTCCAGTCCAGAGGAAGTATTTCACTCGGGGCACTCGCGGAACTCCAGTTACGCTAGTCAGCAGTCCAAGATCTCTGGTAATTACTGACCTGTTAAACTCTTGCACCCCCTGGGAGACTGCAAGTCTTCAAACCTCCAGCCTGTTTTCCTGTGGTGCGTTCCAGTGATTCGCAGCCAGATCTCTGGCCAAGACTCGCTCTAGGGTCTGGTTTCTGGACCCCGTGTTTGGGGTGACTCTGCACTAGGACCAATCTGTATAATCCCCTTTGGGGGCTAGAGGCCTCAGACCATCTTAGTGAAGCTTCTGCGTCCTGGAGGCTTGCCTGTTAATATTTTGCACTGATATCTTGCTGCGGCAGAGGGGCAAGCTTGGTGTGTAATGATGAGCCCGTGTCCACAGGTTACAGCACAGAGCACTCGCGTTCCTCCAGCATGTCGGACCTGACCCATCGCCGGAACACCTCCACTAGCAGCAGTGCATCCGGGGGACTCAGCATGACAGTTGAGTGTCCAGAAGGAGAGAAGGACCACAAAATGGACAAACCGCCTCGGCCCCCAAGACCAGCCCTCCTAATGGATAGATCGTCCCGGTAAGTGGCCCTATAAAGGAGAAGCTTTTAGTGTTCTGCCATCCAGAGAGACAAAAAGTCCTTTGCCCTTCCTTTGCAACCTGATCAGCCTCTTGTCAGATAGCATTGTAACAGTGAAGGGACACAATGGCATATCTGCAGCCTGTCTCAGATGTGCTGAGTCTGTTTTGGTTTTATTCCAGGAGAAAAAAGGATTCGATGGAGAGTCACCCAACCTGGGTGGATGACACCAGGATTGATGCTGATGATATAGTGGAGAAAATCATGCAGAGTCAGGACTTCACAGATGTCAGCAATACTGAAGGTGAGAGACTCGGAGCCTCAAAAGAGAGGTGGTGAAGGCAGGGGAGAAGCAGCCAGAATGTTATTGATCCTTTGATCCCCAAATTCATTTTAGTTAAATGTGGCCCACCTGAAATGTTGCTGGGGTTGGCTGAGGTGTTCTGGAGCAGGTGTGCTTGGATAACAAAGACCATCTGTGCAAGGCAAGAATTCTTGTGGGCGAGCTCTCTTTATTGGGCCAACTGTATGGTCGGTCCAAACATAAGCAAGCTCTTGGGTATCGCCGCACTGTTCCTCAGGCCTGATGTACTGTGATGCCCAAAAGCTTGCTTATGGGCATCACCATAAAACCAATAAAAGGTGATTCACAAGAATTCCTGTCTTTTGCATATCTCTTGGACCTTCATGGCAGCATTACCTCAACACTAGCAGAGGAGCTTATGGTTAGGTAAGGGATCTGTACCCCTGTGGGTGGGCGAGTAGGCATGGGGTAGGGGAAAAACTAGACTGAACACAAATAAACATGGGTGGAGCTAGGAAACAACCTCCGTCATGTTCATGGTCCCAGTACTGCACCACTGCAAGGGAACATCTTTTGAGGCTCTTGAAATGAGGTTCAGTGCATGGGCAGGCTTTAGACATTAAAAGAACCCCCTTGCCTGCCTCTTAACATGTCCCTTTCTCTGAGCTGACTCTTCCAAATGTTGTGGCTGACTTTTTACCTGAGGGTGTCTTCAAAGTGAAGAAGTACCCAGAGATTTGATGGCTGTCAGAGAAATGGGAAGTACATAACCACTTGTAGAAGGGATTTGTTCCCTCTCCCAATGTGGTGCAACATGGTTTGGAGGGGATGTGTGCAGATTGCCATGGTTTTGGATTTCACTTCTTTACTCTCTCCCATCTGATCTGCAGACAGTAACCTGCGGCTGTTTGTGAGCAGAGACGGCACAACTACTCTTAGTGGTATTCAGCTGGGAAACAGGTAAGGCTCCTATCTGGCAGGCAGGTACTGGGGCTCTGGCAGGGGTTAGCTGGTTCTCCGTGCATTGCAGTGGAGTTCTAAACGTGCAGTACATGATGGCTTTGTTCCTGCATCAGTGCACCTGAGATCCTTCTGCTCACAGGCTACAGCTGTGGAGAGCTCTGTACAAGCTTAATGGGAAAATTTTTGATTTCTGCTAGAGCAGGGAATGGTCTGTAGAGAAATACAAAGCCATGGGGAGAATGGCCTATCTGTGGTGGTTTTCTCAAATCTGGGTCAAGGCGGGAGTCCTATTGCCCCCAGCTGGAGTATAGCAAAACTGCAACTGCCTGATGTAAATAATCCTTCCTCCATTGAATAGTCTTTCTACTGAATTTGGTCACATAATAATGCTGTGTCGTGCTGCAGAGCCTTTGTGCATAGCCTCACTGCGCTTTTTACATTCCCTAACCCTCACAACCTTTCATTAGGTAAGAAGGCATCATGCCTCCCTTGCCCTGGGGAAAGTGGACTTTCAGCAAAGGTGCAAAGCTGAGCCTGGAGCCCAGGAGTGCTCGTCTCCTTTCCAGAGGTCATCCCATGAGTGCTTTCTGCAATCCTTAGAAAGGATCACGGTTACAGTTTCAAGTCATCCAGCACTGGATTGCCAGTGTGACTGTTTGTCTGGTTTCTGTTTTATATAGGCTGGGATGTTGCCAGGATGGCTAGTCATTCTCTGTATCTTGCATGAGGGCAGTGTGCTTTGCTACAGTTCTGGAATCTGAATGAATAAAAAAACCCAACGTGCTCTCCCCCTTCTTCCACAGGGTCTCATCTGGAGTTTACGAGCCAGTGGTGATTGAAACCCATTAAATGTGAAGAACAGGGTAGACCTGCTGGAAACAGACCTCCTGCCCCGTCCGCTGCCATGTGGATGCCAATCTGTACCTCTCTACATGCAACATTCCAGAAGGGATTTCTGCAGACCTCTCCCCTTACATTTGCACTGCAGAACTACTCGAAGACCATACCACTCTAGACCATGCACTTTCCCTGACCCTGGCATTATTCCCCCTCCTCCCCATGCTTCCACTCACCGCATTGTTCCATACCAGATCCAAGGTGTCTCTCTTCAGGGAGCACACTCTTATCTGGAGGGTGTTTCCGCTCCCCACATCCCCTTTCCCCAGTCCCTCATTCCATAGATTAATGCCCAACAAGGGGTTGTGCCCCTCCTGTCTCAGCAAACCATTGGGTTGTACCACTGTGAACTTTTTTTTTTTTTTTTTCAAACCACTGAAAGGGGAAAACTAATACGAATGTAACCAGAAATCTGGCGTGGTGAAATGGTGAGCTGGCCACTCACAGAATGCTTTATTCCTCTGACCGCATCGTGGATTGCAAGGAAACTTTTTACCTCCCAAAACAACACTTGACTGAGCAAAGCACCCAACAAAACCAAACCCCACTGTCCCCTATGTATTGGAAACATTTCCCAGAAGTGCATTTCAGAAAGCAACTGGAATCTAGATGGAACTTGGTAACAAAGGTTAAAGGCTGGCTCTGACTGACATGAACTGCAGTATCCCTTCCACTGCTGGGCATGGATGGGCAACTTCCAGTTGCTGGCATTAGTAGGAGCACTTTAAAGATTCCAGATGTGTCTGGAGGAGGCTCGCACTTGCTGTTCCTGAAACAATATGTTCTGTGGACTCACTTGGCAAAATAGTCATGGTTGCAGTTTGGAGGGGGAGGGGCTGGCAGCCTGACTCAGGGAGGGAGGCCTTACAGTGCTTACCTGCCCACGGTGGACCAAAAGAGGAATCTTATCCCGATACCCCTCCTCTGGGCCAGGATAGGGTGCGACTAGGTGTGGTGGTTTGGGGGTTTTTTTTTTAGCTGTGACAGGAGTAGTTAAATGGTTCAATATTTCTGGGCCAAAAAGGGGACTCTCTGATCCTAGGCGACTCTTCGTGCTTTGTGAGAAGGGACCCATGGCTGAGTCTGTCCCCTCTTGGGCAGAGGAGAAGCTTTGTTCAATGCAAAAAGATGTTGGCATCTCTGCTTCTTGGGCAGACTGGCTGTCTCCTGCCTTGGCCACAGCCTTTGTTCTCGCCTGGTTCTAGGTGCGTGAACTCTTCTAACAAATGAGACTTAACTGTTTTTTGATCATCTTTCTCAATGGATCTCTTTTCTAGTTTGATTTCTGCAGTTGTTGGATGCTTTTAGCTGCCTCTCTTTCTCATGGGCTGTGGCAGAAAAGATGTAGGTCTTTTTTCCAACTTCTATTTGTAGAATTCTCCCAGCAGCTGAACTACAGGTGAAGATCTATGCAGACTCTAGCCCTGAGTTGGCAGCAGGCTGCATGCGCAGCCCTCTGTACAGATACTTCCAGCCTATAAGCTATTTCTGAGTAGTGTCCTTTCCTTTTTATTTTTGCTGTTGTACTGTAGTAGCACTTGGCAGCCATGCACTTTGACTAATGGCACACTCCAGATCACTGGCTATGAAGTGGCCTCTGACGTGCGTGCGTACATACCCACTCAGACACATGCACACACTCCGTCCCGTTTAGCGAGAAGAGAAGGTTCTGTGACTGATCAATTTAATTTTGTCTTTTGAATCCTTACTGTTGCCAAGCCTCCCTTGGGGCTCCTTGTCGTGTGTCTGTGAACGGAGCGCACTGAGCTCCTGGGAAAGGGAACAGGGTAAACTGGCAGCAGTGGTCTCACTTGCACATGGTGGTCATCAGAGGGGGATTCTGTAGGCAGAATAACAAGGCTGGATCTTGTTTCATGCTGTGAACCCTTCTTGAGCCCAGTAGGCTGCTTGCTTGACTTGTGCAAACCATTTGTTGTGTGTGTGGTGGGGGGGGGGAGGTTCAGTTTGCCCCACTTGCCTTTTGTGCTCCCCCCATGCCCCCAAAAGGGAATTTATATTGATTTGGGGCAGGCAAAGCCTTATAGCTTAATGTTG